ACTTTTGTCCTTATGGTTTTAGGTTATTCTCTAGAAAATATAAATTCAGGAAGAAGACACTGGATTTGCCAAACTAGGTCATGTGACTTAGAGCTTAGCTTTCAGGAAAGCATATAAATGAATATACACCCTCTAAGGTCTTGGTTACATTGGAGACAAAAATGTTTATTAATACAGATGCTGTGCTGATCTGTAAAATGTAAATCAAATTCAGGTTAGGGTAGATCATATTATCACCATAGGCAGACTAGTTTGGTGCCATCAGCAGAACTGTGTATTGCTAGAACTTGCATTTGGAATGCCCTCCAGGGGCTGTGTGTTGAGGCTTTGCCATCATTATGGAAAAGGTAGAAGCTGAAAGAAAAAAGCTTAGTGAAGCAAGTAGGTCACTGGGAGTAATGTACATGTGTTGGGGTGTGTTGTGTGATGTTCTTGGGAGAGATGTAAGCAACTGTCTATTCACACCAGAGAGGTACCACTGACAGAGCAAGGAAAGAGTTCACTGAACTATGGCATCATGGATCATTTGTTGGGGTTACTTACAGGAGTATAGGTGCAGAGTTTTACAGAAGCATGGGTCACTCAAAGGCACACACACTGAAGAGCCCACTACAGCACAGGTGACAGCTAGTCAAAGTGGTGGGCCTGGAGGTTTATGTCCAACTTGCAAGGAGCTTCACACCAGAACTTTCTCTTCCACAGCTACTATTTATTGTTTGTGTAGCTTCGAAGTGGAATACAGTAAGTCTTGAACTTCTGAAATTCCTGTACCATGGAGTTCTGTGAGCTTCCAGAAACCTGGCTGGTGAGTCTTCCTCCTTCAGGAAGGAATGTTCAATTCAGAGGAAACAGCTACACACAAGGGCTGTGAAGACCCGAGGTCTTTTTGCTCTTTGCTTGCCAGAAACAAAGTTGAGCATCCTAGTCTACCACATGCTGCCCCACCATGATGCTCAGCCTCATGTCAGGGCCAAAGCAACAAAGCCGGATGACTACAGTCTGAAACTTTTGACACTGTGAGCTGGAAGCAATCTGCCTATAGGAGGCTTTCTTTTGGACTGCTAGCCCCCAAATCATGACACAGAGACTTATTATTAATTATGAAAGCTTGACCTTTGCTTAGGCTTGTTTCTAACTAGCTCTTATAACTTTAACCAATTTTTTTTAATCTACATGCCGTCATGAGGCTCGTTGCTTTTATCTCTCCTCCTGCATGTCTTGCTTCCTCTATGTCTGGCTGATGAATCCAGCTTTCTTCTTCCCAAGACCACTCTATCCTCAGAAGTCTCGCCTAACTTCTTCCTGCCTAGCTATTGGCCATTCAGCTCTTTATAAAACCAATCACAGTGACACATCTTCACACAGTGTAAAGGAATATTCTTCAACATCTGTCCTTTGGTGGATTTTCTTGGTACATCTCATGTGGGGTGCTTGGTCCACCCCAGTGTGACCACTATCATCTTCATATTATATTGTCCCTTACCAGGCTATTGTGCTTATATCTAAATCAATATATCACCTTAATAAACTTAAAGCTTGTTTTCTCGTATTTATTATAGTGACTAAATCTGACTTACATTTCTATGTATGTGTGCATTTGTGCATCCTTGTTTTCCCTGAGTCTCTAAGGCACAATGGAGAAGAGTATGTGTACGTTTGCATATGTGTCCAGCCAGATCAGTCAGGATCTGATCACACCTGGCTGGCTGAAGGCACCGCAAAAGCTGACACAGCCTGCATTTGAGAAGTGATTTTACCATTTTTAATTGTCATAAAAATGAAAAATATGCAACCTACATACTACAAGGCTTAAAATGTTTACTTCCTTGATTTGTAGAAAACATAATTGCTGACCTTTGGTGTAAATGCTAAAATTAAGATAAAGAGAAAGCCTCTGGCATGATTGCCATCTCTGCGCTGTTTTACATTGTTGCTGCTGTGGGTTGTGGGTTGCTCTACACCACAAAGACACTCTTTTTTCTATGATTTGTATGTTGGCAGAAAAGTATCAACTTAGTTTTCCTCAGCTGTAATGTTGAAAAATTGTAAGAGGCTTTCATGCTAAGCATGACTACAAATATTTGTTCTGAGTTAGATACAGTAACTTAGCAATTAAAAATAAGTGTCCCAGCAAGTGAGGAACTATTGGTAATACTCCAGGGGCTTAGACCCAGGGGCAGGAAGGGGTAGAATATTATTGACCCACTATGTCTAAGGCCCCATTGGTTAGAGGAAAAGAAAAATATATATAACTTACTGGTTGGAAGGCCCCATCAGGGGTACAGAATAAATAAATAGTAATTGAAGCCAAACCTTAACTCACTAATAACCACTGTCCTGCACACTCAACTTGTATACATAAGTCACATAACAGTAGTTTGTAAATGATATGACACATTTAAGTGGTAATACAAATTACAAAATGTAAATACAATTTACAGGTGATAGAAATTCTAAGTTACTCTGATTTAAGATTTTCTCATTAAAGATTTGTCTTAAAGGTAATAGCAGTGTACATTGACAGTATGTAAGCATGGTAAGCAATTGTTACTGGAGATGCTTTGAGCTTCACCCCGTGTGGCATCGCATTGGCTACAGGCTTGGCACATGGTGTTCTTTATGTTGAGATATGTTCCTTTTACCATAGTCTTTTGGAGCTTTTATCACATTACTTATTCCAATGCAGATCTATCTTGATCCACTCTTGTAACATATATTAACTGTGATTTCTGATAGTGGAATCTTATTTTTTTACATTTCACCTTATTAAAATCTCAATTTAAAACACACTGTCTTCTTATTTATGGACAGTATTCCCCTAGAAATGCTAATGTTACTGACTCTTTCCAGACCTGGGTGTTTTGCCAGCTCCTTTTTAGCATAGTTCACATTCTTATTTCTTTGTCAGGACTTTTTAAATTATGCACTGTAACAGGTTAGGGTGCTGTACCACATGCGGGAGTTATTCTTTACTGAACAAGTTCTCTAGACTCAGCTAGAGTACACTTCCCTTGAACCATGAAACATTTTCCTTTCTTCCAGTGCCCAGCCTATCGTTAATGGCTCAGCACCCAGCCTTGCATTTTTATAAGGTAGCTGCAGGCTGAATATCCTGCACAGTCTTTCTGGTCAACTTAATTTACTTTGCAAGATCAAGGCAGCCTTATGATTCATGTTCTCATGCTCTGATCCCATCCCTGGGAAAACTTTTGTGCCCTTGCCTAGAGCAGGGATGTGAGGTGGAAGGACAGCCTTCTTCCAGAGCAGGGTGCCAGGCTGTGTTGGCCACCTTAGCCGGTGTGGCATCGCTGGCCTACATGTCCCTGAAGAGAGGCAGTCAGTGCTCCAGTGCTCTGTACCTGATGTACCTGAGCTGGAGCTTTCTCGAGAGTAGGAGCAGGGTAGAAAGGTTTAGTCCATGCAGTCCTCAATTTTTCATTATGTCCTTAGCCATGTTTATATAGTTAATGGTTTGTTTTTACATAATCTATCTCTACTTAGATAACATAGGCTTCATGGGATGTGATTCTTTCTCTTCTCACAAAGCACATTGGGGCATATGCAAAACAATACCTTTTCATGAAAATCCATGCTTTTATTTACATTTGACAACTGGCCGATCATGAGAGATTACATCAAAAGTTTCTCTTGTGGATAAACATGTTCATCTAGATGCATCACTGGTTACACTCGAAAGTGAAGCCTGAGGGAAGAGTGAAGCTGCTTCGCATGCTCACATTGTTACTGTGTTCTGCTTGCTTTCATGCACTTTTCCCCCATGTGCTGAATGCATGTGGAGCAAGATGGAATAGCTTTGCAAAGCAGAGCTGCCCCTCCAGAGAGGTATACTGTGACTCTGAACTGTGAAGGGTTTTATTGTCTTACTATACCTTATACTAACTGATTGGGAGACAAAAACATTGAGAATGGAGGAATAAATAGAGCCTGTTTATGATGTAGGAATGCTGTGTTATTTGTATTACTTTGATTCTGGTATTACTAAACATAAATTTTCTACTTAGGTTATCATTTTAACAAATGATCTTTTTTGTCACATAAGATAGGTGTTTGCATCAGATTGGCTTAGCTCACTTTGATATACTTTCGCAAAATTTACATAACTCAGTGGTGACTGCTGTGTTTTGCCTAATCCCTTTCACTTGTCCATTTGTATAGTAACAGACTCTTCCTCTAGTCATGTATTGCTGTGATGAGAGATGTAAGCATCATCAGTGTATTCCCATTCTTTGCTGGCATTGCTGGAATCTTTTCACTAATACTGACCACTGTAATTCTTCTGTAATCAAAGGCAGGGCTGACATACCTTTTCCTTTTAATTGTAAAGGACGAAATGAGAATTCTAGAGCAATGTTGAATAGCTAGGTGAGAGAGGTTATATCTTCCATTGCTTCTGCTGTTAGAGGAGAAAATATCCAGTATCTTACCATTAAATGTGATGTTAGTTTATAGATAGCATTTGTGAGACAGTATTTCATTAAATGCACAATAGGATTAAAAGGTAAATGTGATTGCCTAATTGTGTGACTAGTGGTAATGTCACAAATCTTTTGTGGCTTATGTTTGAGGATATCACTGCTCTGTGTACTTCCTCTCTGTTCACCGTTGGGGTCAGCCCAGCGACACCCATGCTGCAGTGCAAGCCACTTTCCTAGAGTGCAGACAAGACTTGCCACCCATCACTTGCTTCCCAGTGCTCACCCACCCTGCCAGCCCTTCCACTGTCCCTTACAGCACAGAGTGGGGTATACGGACTGGGCTATTTTTAGGTGTGTTGTGCATACATTCCCCAGCTTACTCGTCTTATAATGAATGCATGAAGGTTGGTGGCATACCTCTGGTTCTTGAATAGCAATAATGTAAAAACAAACATTGCACTGGACTCATCATTGTGGGTGCTAAGATACAGTTAAACCATAAGTAGTTTTCACTTTCTCAATAAGAAAAAAATTAATAATTGTTTTCTCCTCCCTTATATTCAGCCCCCTTTTTAAACGTAAAAAGCCTAAAGACAAAATGATTAGGGTGCTTGAAACAAAATGGATCTGCATAGGTAGAAGACATGATGACAAAATCATGGAGGACATCTTCCTTCTCAAGCCTGAGTCTCACATGAAAGGGAAGGTCGCACACTGGAAAAAAGTAAGTAGAACTGTCCTCTTACATGCTTATAATTTACAGCGCCGGGGTGTAGTTTGTGTCAGTCTCACTTAAGTAATTATCACACTGCTGCTGAGATGCTGCTTCACAATCTACTGCTGTCAGAAAATCACATGACACTGAGAATAGGACTGCACAGTGCCTTAGTAGCTCCCCTAACCATTCTGTAATCATGGCCGTGTCCACCCAGGCTGGCCTCTTGTTTAAGTGAGAATCACATAAAACCTCTTAGTTTTAAAATGTAAAAACTATATTTAGCTTATTAAGAATTGGTAATTTTAATGTTATGAACAGTTTAACATTTATCCAATGTTTTTTGATAAGCCAGAAATTACTTTGAGAATGAACTGGAAAGAGAAAAAACTCATTTGCATTTGCTGAATGACTATTATATTCCAGACATTGTACTAGTTCTTTTGATTGTGGTTTGTAATTTATTCCCATGGGATAGGTGCATTTATAACCAGCTTTGGACCCAGGTGTCCTGACAATTTTTTTGGGTTTTGTGTTTGTCGTATGTTAGGTCATGTTAGAAGCAAAGATTCAGCAGTGTTATAAAAGTAGCTGTGGTTACCCTTGACAAGCTCCAGAGTTCAGTGTTTGTGATGCCCATGTGTACTGTACACATGGACTGTTCTCGAGAACAGCCTGGGCTCCATGAGCATAATGGGAAGAGTGTCACTTCAATGTCCGTATGTTAAACAGAGGTTATGACTCTCATCCACTCCTCAAATCTGATGGCTGTAGCTTGAATACAATTATTGTTTTAAAGACAAATGTACACTACCCTGTAGCTAGAGTTTTCCGGCCTTGCCCACAGTCAGGACAAATCTTTGTCACCCGCCAGTCCCACAGCCGCTCAGACCCAACCAAGTAAACACAGAGACTTATATTGCATACAAACTGTATGGCTGTGGCAGGCTTCTTGCTAACTGTTCTTACAGCTTAAATTAATCCATTTCCATAAATCTATACCTTGCCACGTGGCTGGTGGCTTACTGGCATCTTCACATGCTGCTTGTCCTGGCGGCGGCTGCAGTGTCTCTCCGCCTCAGCCTTCTGCTTCCCAGAATTCTCCTCTCTCCTTGTCCCACCTACTTCCTGCCTGGCCACTGGCCAATCAGTGTTTTATTTATTGACCAATCAGAGCAATTTGACATATAGACCGTCCCACAGCACTACCCTAACCATTTCCTTCTCAAAAATCAGTGTTACCTGTGTGAACTTGCTCCACGGGACAGGACATTGCATGAACTTGGAGCTCATAGGCAGGAATAACAATAAAGAGGTTCTGTGGCCACCCTCTGAGTGGCGTCTGCTCATACAGAGACGCTTTACTAGTGTTGCAGACTGACAACCAATGAGTATATGGTACAATATGTATATTAACGTAACAGACGTCACTACCACATGTGTAAGAATTAGAGTATCAGCTGTTGTTTAAGGATTATGTAATACCGATGAAGTCTCAAAGAACATAGCAATGGGCTTGCAAACATCTTATTAGGACATTCTTGTTAAAATATGCAAAGTTTAAAAGTGCTTTAAATTTCTTTCATGTGATTAATAATTTTGTTGATCATCACTACTAATGACATTTAAGGCCCATTCTTTCGTAGTGTATAAATATGTGCACTCTCTCATGTTTTGCCAGTGTTTATACTCACCAGTCACAGGCCATCATACAAGCTGTATTCATCTTAGTTTCTTAAAATAGTTGTAATTATTTTTGTCGGTTTCACTTTTGAGGAATTATTTGTTCCATTTAGAATTTGCTTTCAATCTTTTTCTAGCCCAAATGGCAATTTTATATAAGATTTTATACAAATTTGTTTTTCTCAAGTTACTGAGAAAAATTATACACAGTTTAATAACTAACAGATAAGTTCCTCATGGAGGCTTTGGCCTTGAAAATCACAGTAAGGTAAGTAAGCTTGATTATTAGATAATCACTCCATTATTATTATTTGTGGACATGGTCTCCTGATTATTTTCTCAAAGGTGGGAATTTCAGAGGTGATATGATGTGGAAGGGGAACCACACTCACTAGATAAAGGGACATTTCAGCAGGCATGAGGACAGTGCTTTCTCCATTTTCATATGTACCCCTCCTGCCTCAAGCCATACTTAAGATGGTTCCGTGTTTGTGGAATAGAAAGGAAGACACTGCTAAGTAAGTGTTTGCTGTCAAGAAGCTTTCTGCTTCACTCTTAGGAAGGAATATGTCTAAGTGCTGTTCATCTCTCTTGCCGAGCATACTAGGCCTAGGGTCCCATCTCAAGATTGAAAGCATGAAAAGTGGACTGTTTATCACATTGTCTTCACTTTGTCTAGTTACCATAAACCAGAATGGCTGTCTATGGATAATGTAACACTTCCACTGCCCTAGTCCACTATCCCTGAGTGAAGCGCACCATTCATCATATTTATAAAGGTCCACCTGCTATCTGGGTATTTTCTTGGTGAGATGTAATTCTCTCTCTACTATTATAATAGTAATATTTGTTTCTTGGCCTCCGAAGGCAGAGAGGATTACACATCCTCAGAACTATTACATTGCCCTGCCTAGGGATGCATTACATTAAAGCTATGAAATGGTATTCCTTAGTGCTGTGTAGAACATGGCAGCCGCCCAGTCAAATGAGGATGTGTCATCTCATGCATCTGAGAACTTGTCCATTTGTTGTTATTGTTCTAGAGAAATGGGGAATGAGAGAATAATTCTTATTTTTACTGTAAATGAAGATGCACTGAACCTGTTACTGCAGTTTTCGTTATTTGTTGCACAGTGATATTGAGGTCACAGGCCCATGTCACATTGCAGAGACAGGGAACTGCTCAGAACACTTTAACATGTGAGGTGCGTTTTTTGGTTGTCACTGAGTTTTAATTTTGTTTGCATAGTTCTTGCACTATGAATATACTAAAATAGTTTTGTTTTTTGAGTTTTGTAAATATTTTGAATTATGATTACGGACTAGAGTTTTTATAAAAGTATATATTTCTATTTTTATATTCCAGTCTTATAAATTTTAAATTATTTTAAATTGATTTTGTTAGTTCTTGTAATATGCATTACGAAAGGATCCTTTTTTTTTTACTTCTTCCCAAATCATACTTTTAAATTTTTAATTGTTTTAATGGGATAGATGTTCAAGCCTAATATTATATTGGGTGTCATCTGTCTCTCTGACTTAACTGTCACATATATGTAGAAGGCCTAGGTTGGTCCCATGCAGGCTCCCTAGCTGTCAGTTCAGAGTCTGTGAGCTCCTATGAGCCCAGGTTAGTTGTTTCTGTGGGTTCCCTTTTGATGACCATGACCTCCCTCCCCTATACAATCTCTCCTTCCTTTCTTTGACAAGAGTCCTGGAGGTTGGCCCAGTGCTTGACTGTGGATCTCTGCATCGACTTCTATCAGTTACTGGATAGAGTACTTCTGATGACAATCAGGGTAGTCTCCAATCTGATTACAGGAGATGGCCAGGTCAAGCACCCTCTTCACTATTGCTAGGAGTCTTAACTGGGGTCATCCTTGTGGATTTCTGGGTGTTTCCCTGGCATCATGTTTCTCTTTAACCCTGAAATGCCACCCCCCATCAAGATATCTTTTTCATTAGTTTCCTCCTCCATCCCATCCCTAACCTGCCCAACCCAATCCCTCATGTTCCCCACACTCCCAGTTTACCCAGGAGATCTTTTCTATTTCCACTTCCCAGGGAAATCCATGCATCCCTCTTTGGGCCCACCTTGTTACTTAGCCTGTCTGGGACTGTGGATTGTAGCATGGTTATCCTTTACAGCTGTTATCCACTTATGAGTGAGTACATACCATGTTTGTCTTTCTGAGTCTGGGTTACCTCATTCAGGATGATTTTTTTCTAGTTCTATCCATTTGCCTGCAAATTTCATAATGTCATTGTTTTTCTTTTACAGCTGAGTAATACTCCATTGTGTAACTATACCCCTTTTCTTCATCCATTCTTCAATTGAGGGGCATCTAGGTTGTTTCCAGGTTCTGGCTATTACAAATAATGGTGCTATGAACATAGTTGAGCAAGTGTCCCTGTGGTATGATTGAGCATTCCTTGGGTATATGCCCAAGAGTGGTATAGCTGGCTTTTGAGGTAGATTGATTACCAATTTTATGAGGAAACCTCCATACTAATTTCCAAAGTGGTTGTATAAGTTTGTACTCCCACAAGCAGTGGGGGAGTGTTCCCCTTGCCCACATCCTCTCCAACATAAGCTGTCATTTGTGTTTTCTTTTTTAAATATTTATTTATTTAATGTATATGAGTGACCTATCTTCAGGGAATCAGATCCCATAATAGATGGTTGTGAGCATGCTATTGCTGGGAATTGAACTCAGGACCTCTGGAAGAGCAGCCAGTACTCTGCTGAGTCATCTCTCTGGCTGTCATTTGTGGTTTTGATCTTAGACATTCTGACAGGTGTAAGATGATATCTCAGAGTCACTTTGATTTGCATTTTCCTGATGGCAAAGGATATTAAGCAGTTCTTTAAGTGTATCTTGGCCATTTGAGATTTTACTGTTGAGAATTCTGTGTAAATCTGTGCCCCATTTTTTAATTGGACTATTTGATATTTTGATGTCTAGCTTCTTGAGTTCTTTATGTATTTTGTAGATCAGCCCTCTGTCAGATGTAGGGTTGGTGAAGATCTTTTCCCATTTTGTAGGCTGCTGTTTTGTCTTATTGACTGTGTCCTTTGCCTTACAGAAGCTTTTCAGTTTCAGGAGGTCCCATTTGTTAATTGTTGATCTCAGTGTCTTTGCTGCTGGTGTTCTATTCAAGAATTTGTCTCCTGTGCCAATGTGTTCAAGACTACTTCCCACTCTCTTTCATGAGTTTCAGTGTAACTGGATTTAGGTTGAGGTCTTTTTATCTACTTGGACTTGAGCTTTGTGCAGAGTGATAAATATGGATCTGTTTGCATTCTTCTATGTGTGGACATCCAG